TCTCCAAAAAAAAAAAAAGAAATCAGGTCGGGTGCATGTGCGTGTGTGCCCAAGATCCCAGGAGGAGGATGGAGGAGAAGGGATTGTGGTGTGACCATTCCCCGGGGAGTGTGAGGGTTTCTCATTTTTCCTCTCACTGTTTCTTTCTCTCTCTCTCTGGAGAGTGAATGTACCCTAAGGCAAAAACAAACAAACAAACAAAAAACAAAAACAAAAAAACAAACAAAAAAAAAACTCTAAAAAGGGAGAGAGAAAGCACGCAATGAAGAGTTGGTATGAGGCAAAACTTGTTTATCTCCTGCTCAGATCTACCCCGTTGGGTTTTAAATCATTATTTTAACTTTTAATTATTCCTCCCCCCATTAATAGAAGGCACGTGCACTTACCAGAGGGTGACAGAGAGAGGGAGAAAGCGTCTCCCAATGGGGTGAGATCACGCCACAACCCCTTCTCCTCCATTTCTCCTTCCTGTGGGGATTTGGGGACACAGGTGCCTGGTGTGTTTCTCAAGCTGCTGGGGTGGGACTTGAACCACTGTCAGCCATGTGGGACCCAGCTCCCTTAGCCACTAGGCTGCGAGGCCAGCTCCCTGATTGGGTGCTAACCATTCGGGATGAGGTGAGCATGTGTTTGTGCCCGGCATTGTGCAGACACACTGTGCGGGGGAAGGCAAAGGACGCCCGCCCACGTGCAGCGGAGCTGCCGCGTTCTCCCCCTCTGGAGCTGACATCTGACTGACATCAGATTGACAGCTTTGCAGATCTTATCTTGGTAACCACCGACCCAGCCTGTCACACTCGGAGACAGGATGGCACAGGACCCTAAATCTGGAAGAACTTAGCGACTTTATGATGCCAAATCCAAGGGGGGAAAAGATGCACATGGAGAAACCAGAAAAGCATAGAATGACGGGGAGAAAGGAACGCAGAAAATGAAAACGCTCTTTCCACTGGCAGAATCCGTCCTTGCCAGGAAAAGTGGAATGTCGACTTGGTACGCACATAATTCAATTTACCCAGAAGTCGAGAAAAAGCCAGGCACTGGAGGAATGGCTGATACTGTTCTTGACTTTGGCAAAGACAAGGTATTTGTGAAGTCAGACGCATGTGGACTGCTCAATAATCCAAAAAGGTAAATACAGGGCTTCATACACTGTATGAGCTCAGCGAGGTGAAAGTGCCTCCCCCAACACCTGCCTGCAAACGAACGACTCCAATTTATCATCGCAGACAAAGGAGAGATGGAGGTACACCACAGTGGTGTCAGTAACCGCTAGGGCATAGGCGACTATTTTTCATCTTTCTATTTTTTAGTATTTCACACTTTTTCGAAAGTCAAAAAATGTATTTTAAAATGCCTCTTTGTTTACTTACTTGATTACTTAGCTAGCCCCTTTATTAGAGAAACAAAACAGGGCAAAGCACTCGCATGAACACATGCACAATGGAAAAGTTTCTAAACGGGCAACAGATACCTTTTCCCCTTTCCAACACTCCCAAGCCCCTCTACCTTGCAATTACTACTGTTCACATTTTGTGTTTCTTTTTTTCTTTTCCTTTTTTAGGTTGTTTTTATTAACCATTGATAGCAGAGGGAAAAGCTGAGCGGGATCTGCAGCAAATGAGAGATGAAGTCACAGCTGAAAGGAGCGGGGAGCGGCTGCGACTCTGCGCCGCCTGGTGGCTGGATTGCAGAATGCAGGCTCATCGTGGCGGGATCTTTTCCCCAAAGAAGCCAGAAATAAAATGGGAAAGGAAGCAGTCCGCGAAATACCTATTATGCAAACATTTTTGGCTGATTAAATAATGTTGTAAGTAATAAAAAATTGAAGACAAAAAAAGAAATTGTATGTTGAAATGTCAAAGGTGGACAAGTAACTAAAAAAAAATTGTTTTTAAAGAGATTTTTGTTATAGGGCGCGTGCGCTTGCCATAGAGACACAGAGAGAAACAGAAAACAAGAAATCGCCCCCCAGGGGGGGTGGCCATGTCACAATCCCTTCTTCTCTTGGGATTTCGGGCATGCATGCACACATACCCAACATGAGTTTTAAACCACCAGGTTGGACTTGAACTGCGGTCAACTACACGGGAGTCCAGCGACATAACTATTACACCATCTGCTGGTCCCAGCACAGTATAATTTTGAAATTAAGACAATACTTTGGTGTGCCACCCCTTGTAATGTTAAACAAGATCATTTGTAAGAACTGAATTTAATTTAAGCTATTTAATTTCATTTAGAAGACTTTCAACGGAACAACCTACTTGGAAGTTTTTCTCATCTCATGAGGATCAATTAAAAGTAGAATGTCAGTTTTTCCACTTCAAAATTTCTGAAGGATTAAAAACTCTAAAGCCATGTGCCAGACCAGCCATGATAAGTTATTTTCTATCCTGGATGGGGCCCAGCAGGGGAAAAGCTGGCCACGCTTTCAGAGCATGGTTCTGTGAGGATTCTGTGTCTCGCATCAACATTCCAGCCCGGCCCGTGCTGCAGACGAAAAAACTATTTCAGCTGGAAAGTGAAATGAACGAATGCAGAAACAGGGTCTGGTCTGGGTGGGAGTAGGAACTGGGGACAGCCCCTGGGAGGGGCAGGGAGCCTTGTCTGCTGCTGGTGGACTCCCGCTCTGAATGGGGATGCACCGCTTTCGGCCTGGAAAGTGGGTATCACCCAACCCTGACTCAGTCTGATCCTACAAGGTGCTGGGGGGGATGCATGGGCTCAGTCCCTTTTGTGTGGCCACAGTTGCTGCTGGAAGAAGAGAGAGTTGGTGACAAAGACTGAGAACAAAGGCCAAAAGAAGTAAACTGTCATATCTTTGACTCGATTGACATGCATTGCATGCATGCTTTGAAAAACCATGTTGTGTACCGTACAGATGGACCATAGTTAAATGTAAAAAGTAATTATTTTCTGAAACAAATAAAATGTTGGAAAGTTTTTTCAATTAAAAACAAAACAAAAACAAAAAATAATAACCAGTGACATCATCCCAGTTCTGGACTGATCTGAGCCTGTCTGAAGCCAGAGCTCCAGAACGCCCTGTGACTTTTCCAGTCCAAAACTCATAATAAGTCTCCGTGTAACTTACGCCTCCTTAGTTTCGGCTTCTGTCTACAACTTTTGGTCAGGGAGTCAAGCGCCAGAGGGTATGTGGCCTGAACCACCTCGACAATCTTTACTTTCTTCACCTATTTCTTTTAAACCTACAAATGAATGAGCCTGGAAGGAAATTCTGGATTCTTCTGGCATTCCCTAGGTCTCACTCCTAAAGAAAGCGAATAATTGAGAAGATGGTTAAAACATATATTGAGGACTTCCCAGGGAATCCTAGTTCACCCCCATCCCAGAGTGGTTTGGATGTCGGGAAACACAAGGGAACCTCCTGCTACACAGAAAAGATGACGTTCAGGTTCCCTCACATTCCTGCCTGATGATACGTAGAAGAAAACTTCTTCTTCCCAGCCTGGGAAGCCACAAAGCCTGCTCTGTGGCTGGCCTCTTCTGAGTGCCAGGGCTTGGCTATTTCAGCTGGTCTGGGGGCAGGCAATGGTGGGAGAGAGGGTGAGGGAGAGAACCCAAGCTGGGGCCCCAGGGAGGATGAGAACACTCAGCCCACAGCTCCTCTCTCGCCAGCCAGGGGCTGGGGCAAGGCTTATTTTGTTCAGGGACCCCTTTTAAGAAAAACAAAACAAAGCAAAGCAAAGCAATGAATATAAAATTAAGTTTGAAAATGAATATTCAAAGTGAGAAAATAAATCATTACACATTGAAAATGTTAGAGTTGGCAAATAACCGTTAACATCCCCAGACCAAGAAAAAGAGCCAGTTATTATTATTGTTACTATCTGCTTGATCCACTTTATTATACATGCTTTACAACATTTTGGGCTATATACACTCTTTTTATGACAATCTCTTAAGATCCTTTTCTTTTCTTTTTCTTTAGAGAAATTTTTTGCTATAGGGCATATGTGCTCACCAGAGACAGTCCAAAAGCCATAAATCACCCCCAGGGGGATGGCTACACCACAATCTCTTCTCCTCTGCTCTCCTCTTGGGATTTTGGGCACACATGCACATGTGCCCGGCATGAGTTTTAAGCCACCAGGTCCGGGATTCAAACTGCGGTCGACTACATGGGAATCCAGTGATGTAACCATTACGCCATCTAGTGGTCCCTTTTAAGATCGTTTTCTATAGTGACAATAAAAAGATACTGCAACCTTCCCTTAAGCACAGAAGACCACTTCTCTCTTTTGCTTGGTGCTGAAAACACCTCTGAGCGTGCAGTAGGAGCCCCAGGTTTTTAGTTTCCTGTGATGCCCTACCATTCTCAGCTGCCACCTGGTCCTTGCCCAGAGGCAGATGCCACCAGGAGCTGCTGGGACAGTCAGTGGCCGGGAGCTCGCCCTGTAGTACGCGACTGATATGTGTCATTTCCGAACAGTAATGTCATTGCTGTCATCCGGACTAGCAATCACGCAAGTGTCTGACTGAATTACGTTGTTATCACGTCTGAGTTACGGAACGTTTCTAGTCACTCTGATTTCATTTCCTTTGTGATAACACCCCTTCCACACCCACCCAGTTTAATCTTCTTGCTATTAGTTTGCTTGGCATTGATTTTTCACGAGTGGCGGGGGGGGGGGATTTGTTTATTTATTTATTTACTTTAGGTTTTTGTCATAGGGCATGTCTGCTCACCAGAGAGAGACAAAGATAAAGAGAGGGAAAGTGAGAAATGACCCCACTCCCCTTATCCCTGGGAGGATGGCCAAGTGGCAATCCCTTCTCCTCCGTTCTCCTTCAGGAATTTGGGGCACACATGTCCACACACCTGGTGTGATTTTCAAGCTGCAGGGTCCAGGACTTAAGCCACAGTTGGCTGTGTGGGAGTCCAGCACCTTAACCACCACACCACCTCCTGGTACCAGAAGCCACAGCTCTTTAAGGAGAGTAATTGGAGAGTCTCAGAAACACAGAGAAGAGTG